GGAGAAGACATTTATATACCCTCCTGACAGAATTCCTGAAAGCATTAGAGAAAATAATTATGTCATCAGCATAAGCTAAATGGCTTATAAGGATATTAGATCTGTGATGGAAAGCCAAATGAGGTGAATTATTAACGAACTTATTCTGATGTCTTGAAAGGTAGTCCAGAGCAAGTATAAAAATGGTTGGAGACAAGGGGTCTCCCTGTTTGATCCCCCTGGTAGCATTGAAGAAGCCATGATTCTTGTCATTGATCAGAATCGAATGTGCATTGCATTTAAGCCATCTGTGTACCAAATTTATAAATTCTTCATTGAAGCCTCTAGCAGAAAGAGTATCAAGGATGAATTCCCAGTTAATGGTATCATAGGCTTTGCTTATGTCCAGTTTGAAAATGACATTTCCTCCTCTACAAATTCTGTCAAGATCTAACTGGAGTTCCTGGGCAAGTAGGATGTTGTCAGTAATATTCCTCCCTTTAATAAAAGCCACTTGGTTGTCACTAATGAGATGATGAAGATGGGGTTGCAGCCTAAACACAATGATTTTGCTGATTATTTTGGAGATCACATTGGTTAGGCTGATTGGCCTGTAATCCCCACAAGTTTTCTTATTTTGGTTCTTTGGTATCAGAGTGATGGTGGAGGCACTGAAATATTTAGGGGGGTCCACACCAAGAAAGAAATTTTGGACAACAAGCATAATGTCTTGTTTAGTCCTATCCCATGTGGCTTTATAGAAAGTAGATGTATAGCCATCGGGCCCAGTAGTTTTGAGACCATCAATGGAATCTAAGGCTTGTTTTATCTCATCTTCCAAAGGGGTACTAGTGAGATTTAAATTTTTAACATATTGCTGACAGTTAGTGAACATCTCACTTTCAATTGGGCTTCTAAAATCCAGCTCATTGGTGAACAACTTTTGGAAATGTTGGACTGCATCATAAGCTATATCTTCTGCATTGGTTAACTTCCTGCCATTGATATTGTTTATGTTTAAGATCATGTTACACTTCCTTCTATGATTGATACAAGCATGATAGTATCTAGTACTTCTATCACCATCAATGAATTTAGTGACAACAGCTTTTTGTTTTAAGAAACATTCATGGTAGTTGATTTGTGCAGGGAGTCTCTCATTGGCATGGTGAACCTCATATTCAGAGTTCATCCCCATTTGTAAGCCTTCGTCCAAACTATGAACTTCTTTTCGGTTGGCCTCCAGTTGTTCATTGACATTACCAAATCTTTCCCAATTCCATTTTTTCAGATGAGAGGCTAAGTTCTTTTGATTTAACCATAATCAGATCTAGCGGTCTGCATTCAAGTTGGAATTCCAATTGTTTCCCACCTCCTTAATGAAATCAAGATGTAGAGTCCACATATTCTGAAATCTAAAAGGTGTATTAGTTGGTCTAGCAGTGTTCTGTATGGAGAAAAGGATAAGTCTGTGATCATATCCAGCCATTGCAAGGTGAGTGACAGTACAGAATGGGAAGGTTTGAAACCATAAGGAGTTGTCAAGCAATCTATCTAATCTTTCCCACAAAGTGCCTCTTCTCCAAGTGAACTTTGGACCTTTAAAGCCTAGATCAAATAGACTAGCATCACTGATGAAGTTATTGAATTTGGCTATTGGAGAAAGTAAAGAGGTTTTACCCCCTCTTTTTTCAGTTGGAGAAGTGATACAATTGAAGTCACCCCCCAAAATCCAGAAAGAGTCAATATTTTTTCCCAAATTCATCAGCTCATGCCACAGTTCTTGTTGGTATCTAGGAAGGCAGCTAGCATAGATGAATGATGCAAATTCCACCTGTGCTCCAATAGCAAACTGAATGTGAAGAAACTGATGATGGTTAACAAGTAAACTGCACTGAATTTTAGGTTTGACAAAGAGCCAGATTTTATTAGTGGAATTAGCATAGAAAGTAAACTTGGAAAACTTGTTGATGATGTTTTGAGGAAATTTGGTGACCATAGGTTAAAGAATTGCAAAGCACCAAATCTTGTGTATTCTGAGGAGATGTCTTAATCTCAAAAGAGAGGAGGGGTGAGCCACTCCTCTAATGTTCCAACACAAAATATTAATCATGGGATCCTTAGCATTCCAAAGAGGAATTGGTGAGAATTGAATGGAAGGTTGAGACCTTGACCTAGTTCTTCCTCAATTATATGTAGAGGTAGAGCCAGAATGAGTCTTAGGCTTTCCATCCTTCTTAGGAGAGTCTGTTCCTTGTAGAAGTTGTTGCACCTCAAAAGTTTGTTTTTTCTTTTTCCTGGTTTTCTGAATTTGCCAATCCTCTTCCAAAGCCTGTTGAAAATCAATGACATCAGCTTCAACAATGCTAGGAGTAGCCTCATTGATCAGGGAACTTTTCATCACATTATTTTTCCTTGTTTTCTGACTTTGCCAATCTTCTCCCAAAGCCTGCTGCACTTCAACAGCAGCAGCTTCAATAATTCTAGTTTTAGCCTCAGTGATCAAGGGACTTTTCAAAGCACATTTCCCTTTTCCAGCAAGTGTTGGGGAAGGAGGGGTAATAATACTGACTTCATTAGGTTCTGCCCTCTCCACACAACCTGGAGAAATTTCTAAGTTGTTTTGGGGTGCTGATAATTCCCCCAATGGATCACCAGAGGGGAAAGTGGCAGGAGGATTTGCGTTCTTAATAGAAAGAGTTTTACTGGTTTTCCTAACAGCATCCCTGTGATTAAATGTAGTGATATTATTGCTTTGTCCCTGATTAGAAACCTGACTAGCTACCCTTGGATTCATAGAGAGTTTGTTAGTAGGGGGTGGAGCCTATAGCATTTCTCAATAGTGTGGCCAAACATTTTACAGTGTTAGCAGTAAAAAGGCTTTTGTTCAGTAGTTATATCTTGCCAAAACCCCTCTGCATCAGAACCAATCCATATCCTTTTTATCTTAGGGAGGGTTATGTCTCTTTCCACCTGAATTCTAGCAAGAGCGGGTCTTGCCTTATTGAAAGTAGGAGCATCAACCTTGAGGGGAGTACCTAGTGCTCTCCCTATGTTAAAAAGTACAGTAAGCTTGAAGTAAGGTAATGGAAGACCAGGTAGCTTAAACCAAACTGGGACCACAGGAGGCACCTTAGTTGGGTCAAAAACTCTTGTCCATTTATGAATTTTCCTTGTAACGCCTGCTATAGAAACAACTTGTTCAGCAAATAGCCTAGCATAATCTTCTTCCATTGAGAGTTGGATAAGCAGATGTATTCCATCTATCAAACCAAGCTTCCATTATCCAATGAAATTTAGATAATCAAAGAAGCTTCTAACACGGTCCATTTTTAGATGACCCAACTGGAACTTTCCAACAAGAGTGAATCTGACTTCTTCATTCAGTGAAGCAATTTCAGCTGTAGAGAAGTAGACTGCATTTTCTCCATCTTTGAAGCCAAGGGGGTGAATGCAAGGGCAAATCCCTTTGCCAACAGCAGCATTATGAAATTCTTGAGGGAAAATTAAATTTGTAGGATCTTGGAGAGTGTCATTAGCTCTTCCAACAATCCCTGCATAAGTAGCTTTAGTCCAACTGGAATCAGTGTGAACATCAATGGGGGTGGCCATAACACCAGTCATAAAGAAAAACCTGGAAACTTTTGAGTAGAGAAAAAGAAAGTAGGACAGAATTCAGGAGGCCAGCAGAAAAACCAGAGAAGAGGAACACCAGCACAATGAAATAGTAAAACAGAAGGGAGAAAAGAGAGTTTGTGAAAGCCATGAGGAAAAGACCACAAGGAAGACTCCCAAACCAGTGACAAGCCCAGCACAACACCTTACCAGCACCCACAGAGACCACCAACAGCTTCATCTCCCCAAAAACACTAGCAGAGCAAGCTTACCAGCCGCCAGCTCT